ACTGTTGTTGTGATTTGGTGCTTGAATTAGTTTCAGGAGTTGGTGGAGGTGAATATTGGGTTTATTATATTTTTCTTGTAGCCAAAACCACCAAAACTTGTATGTCATAAAAGGTCTGTGAGGGAATTTGATGTTAAATACAGTTTATCCTGCTGCCTTTAATCGCAGTGCTTAGGACTACGCAAGAGCTGTAATGTATAATGCAATATATAATCTGTGACAGTCTTAAAATCAGTTCCATCGCTGCAAAGCACTCAGAGTAATGGCGATAAACGGCTTTGTGAAATTAGAAAAGTCATTTAAATCTAATCTGTCCCCTCTCTGATCTGAAGACGCACTACACATCTGTTAGGATGCTCATGTTTTTGTGTGTTATCTCTCAGATGCACGACTCGCCCCCGGCATTCCAGACACCCCGAGCAGACTGGTGTTTTCTGCTCTGGGACCAACGGCCCTCAAAGTCAGCTGGCAGGAGCCCCACTGTGAGAAAGACATCCTGGGATACTGCGTCCTCTACCAGCTCCTCAACGGAGGTAAGTGCAAGCAGCACAACGTTAATGTGGAAGAGCGAGAACAGGATGTGTGTGTATTCACTTCCTGTTTATGGAGGCAGTTGACATCTTCTCCGATGGTGATGCTGACCACGCTCTGCTCCCTGTAGGTGAGATGAAGCGTATCAACGTGACAAACCCGGCACAGAACTCGGTGATCATCCAGGACCTGCTGCCAAATCACTCCTACCTGTTTAAGGTGAAGGCTCAGAGCCAGGAGGGCTGGGGTCCGGAAAGAGAGGGCGTCATCACCATCGAGTCTGCTGTCGACCCCAAGAGCCCCCTCAGCCCTGTGCCAGGTGCTCATTCACTTATCAGTCCACAAAAACAACGTCTGCTTATCTTAACAAAGGCACTCGATCTAATATTCTCCTTCCTCATGCTGTCGCTTGTCACTTCTTCCTCCAGGTTCACCTTTCACTCTTAGCACTCCCAGCGCTCCAGGACCGCTGGTGTTCACAGCTCTGAGTCCTGATTCGCTGCAGCTCAGCTGGGAGAAACCACGCAAGCCCACCGGAGAAATCCTGGGATATGTAGTCACCTGCGAACAGCTGCATGGCGGAGGTGAGGCTTTCTGCACAAAGGTCACTTGCTGTAAAGCTGTTACATTTTAAATTGTGTGAATTTGGTTTGACCTCTGTTTCCTGTTTCCTGCAGGTGATATGCGTACCTTCAAGGTGAACAGTGATGGCGCTGAAACCAGTCTGACCGTTCCCAAGCTGACTGAGAACATGCCCTACAAGTTTAAGGTCCAGGCTCAAACCACACAGGGCTTCGGTCCGGAGAGGGAGGGCATCATCACCATTGAATCTCAGGATGGAAGTAAGATAAAGCCCGTACTGACAGATTGGCGTCTGATATTAATTTTAAAAATACAACAAAAAAAACTCCCAGCGGTTGTTGCTAGAAGCTGAAATAGACAAAAAGCTGATCCCCTCGGAGGGATGAGCGTAAATGTCAGTCTCTTTGTCTGTGTTGGAGTGCAGGGCAGCTTCTGTCCAGAGTTGACATTTTAGACTGAGCAAACATTTTGGAGTTATGTAACAGGAATATGCTCGATGAATTTTAAAGCTGGTACCAAAAAAGATCCATCTTCTGGGAACCTCTGGGGTAATTTATGATCCTCTCAGTCAAGGAGAAATATTGGCATGACTGTGGCGCAGCAAAGGTGCAGAGGTCTCTGTAATCCATCAAGAATGAATAGAAATTTGTCCAGCGATTCTTTCTTTTAGCATAAATTGACAGAAATTATTATTTCCATGAGTTAATATGCACTTTTAAATTTTAAAAACTTAGATTCAACATTAAGAAAACAAGCTTTTATTGTGCTGCTTTGCACAATAGAAGTTATTGAGTTAAATCTGAAGATTGACAGGTGCTTGTTACAGATAGGGAACCTTACATGACACCCAAGAGACTGGACGGCTTTACAAAGTATGAAAAGTGCTGTGGATTCACTGACATATTCAGTTTTTCCAATTGAAAGCTCTTCCAGTGTTATTGCTTAGGAGTTAAAATGTACAAAAAGTACTAGATAGTATTTTACTCATAGAGAGTAAAATACTGCAAACAGTTTAGTTCCAAAAAGTCAAAATGAAAGGTTTCTTTGCCTGTAAAGCTTATTAGGGCTACTGTAGGACCTGTTCTGATGGTCATTAAACCACGTTTATTGATTTATACCGAGTTGTCAACTCCCATCATTAAAGGTACCGTTGAGGTCACCAAATGTCGTCTTTATGGGGGAATGAGTTAAAGGGCGTCCACACAGGAAGCAGTTGGCTAGTTGCACATCTTGTTGTGCTCGATGGTTAGCTAGAGCAGCGGTCCCCAACCCCCGGGCCTCGGACTGGTACCGGTCCGTGATTCGTTTGGTGCCGGGCCGCGAGAGTTGAGGCTCAGGTGTGAAATGTATGGTTTTCAGGGTTTTTATCGGTTTTCAGCGTTATTTTGTTATCGTTTTTATCGTTAACTCGGTTTTCCTGGGTCTTTTCACGTGTGTTATGAATAAATCTTCTTCTTTTTGGTATCGGTACTAGTTTTATTTTGTTGTATTTATCCGCGACACCTTAAAGGCCGTGAAAATATTGTCGGGCATAAACCGGTCCGTGGCGCAAAAAAGGTTGGGGACCGCTGAGCTAGAGGACATTGTAGATTCAGATTGCCTAGATAAATTTCTGAGGTGTTCATTGTTTTTGGCTTGGCTTGAAGTTGCAGCGTTATTTTGGTAGCTGTTCGAAGTCACTGAAGGTCTCTTCAGAGCAGAGCAGCGGTAACTGTCAGATTTGATCAAACAGCATTTCCTGTTTGGCGATCAACACGTGGATGTCCTTATTTGAGGAACTAAAAGTAGATCCTGATTTGGGTTATTTTAAAATATAAGCTGAAACAGTTTTTAAAGAGGCATGAGACATGCTCGTCTTTGTACTACTGTTTGGGCACCATTTACATTTTTCTGTCTACATTTTTTCAAAAGTTCTGGGGTTTGAGGTTTGCGTGTGCTCCTGGGTTTTATAAATTTTTACACAGTGTAAATACCTGTATTTCAAAAAAAGTTATAAATATGTCTTATGTTGAGGAGATATCAGCTAGGTTGATCCTAGAGTTGGGCTTTGCTTTTGTGTAATATCACTTTATACCACAAGATGGTGCTGTTAATGATTATAACCTTTATTTAACCAGGTAAGCCATTAAGATAACATTTTTGTGCATAAAGGCAGCCAGCCAAAACATAACACCTCCTAATATGTCAGAAATTAAACAACGGCGCACATTTCAGCTACATTTCAACACCACTTGTAGAATGCTGCCCCCTGGTGGTGAAAGTTTGGTTAAAATACCTTTAAAAGCTCATGTAGGATGAAGCATTGCAAATTAGCTTAAGCTTATATGATAATGTAATGCTCATTTCTGTCACTCCTTCTTGGAGATAACAGACTTCTCATCTGTTTTTGTCCTTCCTTGCCTGTAGGTGCTTTGTCCCAGCACAGCAGCCAGTCGATGACACGGCGGGAGGTTTTCCACATGCCAACGGAAGTCAGCACACGAACTAACATCTCCCACACCACGCTCGACGACCCCTTCTTCTCAGGTACAAAAATAATAAACTAAGCTTAATTTCTCTTCTTTTTAAAATAGGATGTGTTCACTCACTGTTATGTACCACTGTCTGTCCAACAGATGGGATGATGATGACTACGCAGCACACAGAGACTAGCGGCATGGTGACTCGTCAAATCACCAAAGAGGTGGTTCAGAGGGGCGTCATGGGAGCAACTACTGTCACAAAGAAGATGTTTTATGAATCTTAAAGGGCGCGTTTGACAAACTGGCATCCAAATGTTCGACGTAATGAGAAATCATATTTGAGAATCTCTTTTAAAAAGAGTCGACTTCACAGTGCTGAGAGTGTTTTTGTATATGTGCGAGGGGGCGTAGCTTTCACTTTGCAACCAAAATTACATAAGAACTCGCGTCTGTTACAATCTGCCGTCATTTTCTTCTATAAGTTCAGTTTGTTTTAACATATCCATACGTATCAAATATCAAGCTAGGTCTATGAACTCACTTTGTGTTGCACATTTCATGCTAACGAGGAAAAAGCCTGATTTTCTACTGCAGGCACATGATCAAAAATATACAGGATGTAACATGTTTTTGTATCTCATACATTTGAATTAAGTTGGTCTTTTTCATGCTTAAAGTTTTTCTTCTCCCCGTGTGTTTAGCATTTTAAGAAGTTTTTGACAGGAAGATATGTGTACGGTGGTCCTGAGTTACAAAACAGATGCACACACAAAAAAATAACAAGAAAATAAAACCATTTCACTTTGCCTAAAAATTTTGGGACACCATTTTTTTAAATGGAAGGAGCCCGAGTCCTTGAAACAGCGGAAGATATTGCAGTTATTAGGGAATATTTTCACGAAGGATATTTACCATTCAAACCCTGAAATCAAGAATTAGGCCTGAGCATAGAGGCATGAGGAAATCTGCATTCGTAAGAAAGCAAGATGCTCCCTATAAACAGTAAAATAGTATTTGTTGCATTTAAGAGTGATAAGGATTTTTAACTATCCATACTGTTGTTTTTTGCTTTATTTTGTATTTTGCATCTCCAGGCCCCCATACAAATGTGTGTAAAGACAGAAAGATTGTATTTGCTTCTGCTGCAAGTGCTACTATGTTCGGCTTTATGTTTTCTTTAAAAATGCTTTTGTGAAACATTTTTGAGGGAAGCTCCTTGGTAGGAAAATGGATAAGTGGATAAACGTCTCACCAAAAAACATTTTTCTGTTCTTTCGATCAATTATGTATCTCTTACTTTTTAACAGTTGAACTTTTATTATTTTATTTTTCAACTATTTTATTGCACATAATAAAGATTTGAAATGATTTTGTGCTGGCTGATGGTTTGTGCAAACTTGTGCAAAAATAAGCGAATCAATAATAATACAAATGCAAAACATTTGTGGGGCTTAAAACTTGACTGTAGGTTATGCTAAGAGTTTGGAATTTATCTGTGACAGTTCAACTTTGAGATAAGAAGCTTAGGAATGTTTCAGTGCTGGGGTGTCCACCTCCAGCGCCGGTGTCCTGCAGGTTTAGATCTCACCCTGAGTCAACCTGAATCAAATGCTTAATTCATTACCAGGCCTCTGGAGAACTTCAAAACAAGGTGACGTGTCTAAAATCTGCAGGACACCGGCCCTTGAAAGCCTTGAGTACCCCCACCCCTGCTATAGAGGAAACACTGGGTAACAGGGAAGAACTTATAGTCAAAATTTGAGAACCTTTCATCCAAATTAGGTCAAAATCAGCACTAGACTTGCTTGCATTCACAGCAGCACACCCACCAAGTCTGAAGCAGATCAGATCCACTGCTGTTCGCATGAGCAAAGAAGAGACAGAACAGACTTTCAGAGATTTCTGGAATTAATAGTAAGATTTATTGAGCTAGAGAGAGAAAAGCATTGCCATGTCTTATATAGCACAAATAAACAAAAACACAGCTGCAAAAACAAGCTCATGCCTGAAAAATGTTTGCAGGAAGCTTGAGACAAAGAATTAAATAATCTATAATTCAACTAGAGGCATGCGTCAGCCCGGGCTGCAAATATCTGCCTCGTCAGCGGCACTGTTTCACTGCACTGAAGCTAAAAGTATCATCATTCACAGTGCGCTCATGCTGTAACTTTTTAATGTTTATTTGTCATCAACAATTAAAAAAAACGTAAAAAAAAAAAAATGAATGGATGTAACATTACAGGTTTAAACTGATCCCCAACTTTATCCAATAAAGTTTGAGAGGAGTTTAAACCCATGGGGAAAAACGTTGTTCATTCTTTAAATGCTCGTTTTTAAAATATAAAGAATCAGATACTGTATGTTTCTATGAAGGCAGAGTAACAGGAAAGTGTTTAGCAGATGAACATGTCGGAAGAAGAGCAGTTCCTGTTTGGGATTTGACGAGGCACCTCACAGAAAGACTTTCAGTCCAGAAACAGCCACGCGATTCTAAATCAGGAGAATAAAAGCGTGAGCTCTGTGAGCTGCCGAGGATTAGGACTGATCCGTTTCAGTTCCAGAGGCAGGGCCCCGGGCACAGGCACCGCTGTTTCGCATCAGCAGGCCTGATCACCAGGTCTTTGACCACCTCCACAGTCCCAAAAACAGGGTACAGTTCCTCTGTGAACTTCTCGGTATAGGTGTACAGGTGGGAGCGCTTCTCCACGTCGTAGAAGGACAGCTGGCCCTGCTCATAGTCCAGATAAATGCCGACTTTCCTGGGCACCAGGCTCTGAGGTAAAGGCGTAGCGGGCACCGTCAGGGCTTTCAAATCTGTGCCTCTCTCCAGACGGAGGGTCAGGTATCCCGTATCTGTGTTCAGCGAGCGGTACCCCTGCCTCACGGCCGAGGCTTTGGCCACTCCCAGCCGCCAGTCCCGCTCGCCCACCTCCACCTCCCAGTAGTGACGTCCAGAGGCGTAGCCCTCCTGGCCCACAGCACACCACCAGCCATCGAAGCGTCGGGGGCATCGTGGGATGTCGCGGCGCTCCAGGCCGCAACGCATTCGTTTTTCATCGTCTGAGATGAGCAGGCCTGAGTGGGCCGATTCGGAGTCCAGGGTGACGTCCTCTGTGGAGTAAAAGGGCGGGATTACAAACTGCAAAATGATGTCACAGCAAGGTGAAAAACAGAAGAGAGATTTTCATACCTGCTGCATCACAAATCCAGTTCCACACTGCAAAGAAAAAGAAGAGAAACTCCGTTAGCTCATTGTTTTGTACAGTAGTTTAAAGAAGGCATGCAAAATTTACCTTCACACGATAACACACGTTTTCTTTGTCCAGAAAAACACACACAAGCAACTTACACCCACCCCACTGTACTTAAAGCCCTGAAGTACAAAGGGGGCTGGAGTACTTGTGAAGTATTACTTTATAAGTATAAATATAACTACATGTAATTTCAAGAGCTGAAAAACACATTGATGCTTTGTACAAAAAAAAATGCAACCAAATGAATTTTACGCCCACTCCCCTCACAGACGCTGTGATCCACAGCCTTCTGTGTGCCCACTGGAAACATTTTGGAAACTAGTCCACGGCTTAAAGTTGTTCAGTGCGATCGGTCCCAACTATTATACAGAGCATGAAAAGTCCAATGTATGCATGAGTGTTTAAATATGACTATATGTGCAATTTCTTTTGACAAAAAGAAGAATAACAGCTAGAAAATGAGCCCAATATCAACATGGAGGTAAAAGGAAAACTCTTTCTTGTCACAGCACTTTGAATTACCAGAAAAGTGATCAAACATCCAGAGTACCAGTGTTTGTTTCTGGTATTCTGTGCCATATTTGCATTAAAATGGTGCAGTTTTTAAACTAATATATATTCTGTGATACAGGTGCTCCAAGGTGGTTGTAGAAAAAAAATCATGCTGAACATAAGCTAGATTTTTGGATCTAGTTTATGACGAGTGTCTGAGGATTTCAGAAAGAACCGAGGCTACAGTTCACACAGACTGCTCAAAATTATAAAATAGAAGAAAGGGAAAACGTTGACTCCAAATTTGAGTTAAGCAACATAAAGGATGGATCAATCCTGCCTTGTATCAACAGTTCAGGTTGTTACTGGTGGTGTAATGTTTTCTTGTCACGCTTTGTGCCAACTAAGCAGCCTGTCAGCCTGAGGACGGGTGGCTTCTTCAGATGACTGCCTCCATGTCAAAACGCTCAAATCATCTCAAACTGTGTCTTGAGCACCACTTCACTGTACTCAAAGGCCTCCACAGTCACCAGCCAACAGTCAGACTGTACTGACATATAATAAAATTGATCAAGTGCACAATCCAGTGGCGAACCATTAAAAAAATGACTGCATTTGTTAATAATCAAGCTTAAAGTTTATCGTTACATACTATAGATTTCAGATCATATAATCCAGCCCCACATGTCTGTAAACAGCTATACAGAAAC